AAATGGATATTTATTCCCCATCTTAAATCTGAGTTGAGTCTCTAAAAAAATTCTGTAGTCCTCCATCTTTTTGCTTTAATTCTCCATTTTTTTTAAAAAAAAGGTTTTAAATGGAGTTACTGGGGACTGAACTTAGGGCCTCATGCATGCTGAGCACATACTCTCTTAAGTAAGGTGTACTCTCCCCCGTAATTTTTTTTAAACGTTACTTTCTTAGTATTCAGAGGTTAGAGGCCTCTAATTCTTTTTCTGGAGACTTGTCCATGAACCTGTAAATCTATAATTAATGGACAAAATTTTGTTTATTAAAAAAATCAATAGTACTTTCTTCAATCCATTCAAAAGGAAATGTTCATTGAGTTAAAATGTTTCTCCTTTATGGTGATTTCTAATTTTTGGTCTGGCTTAACTTATTAAAAGTAATCCTCAACATCATAATGACCAAGCTTGCTGTGAGTGGACACCTACCAAAGGCTAAAATGTTTTTCTCATGTTTTACTTCAAAGCAGGTGTTTGACGGTAGGTATCAGTGTCTCCTATTTTGCAGCTGAGGGATTGAGAGGTGGGCAGCTTGTCCCAAATCAAACGCAGCTGGCGGTGGCTAGCTCGGTGCTGGAAGCCAGGCTGCACAGAATGCATTCTCAATTGCTCCTCTGATCAGCCTCCCGTTGAGTGGTTTCCCGAACACCTGTGAGTCCATAAATGACCGATTTTGGCGATCTCAGCCTGATGAGGCCTTCAAAGGAGAGACACCAGTGAGAATGTGAGACAGAGTGGCATAAATTAAAATTGTATATTTTCACAAATGTTGCATTCTCAGGTAATGACTTAAATAGTTTATGTTTTCTTTATTTTAGTGCTATTTAAGCACTAAAAACAAAACTTTAAAATGATTATAGTGCAATATAAGAGTTGGCTTTGAAAGTCCAACCATTGCTAATGATGTTGCTTGTTTTTCTCTAGTGGTGCTTATTGACAGAATAATTTACAATGACTGAATTTGTTTTATGTAGTCTTAGTATGGAGGAAAAGTTTGTCAGTGAATATTGAAAGTAAAATCTTTATTCTTTTCTCTCCTGATGATAAATATGTAAGTTGTTTTCATGGCTTAAGTATATTTCCTCATTTGTGAAATTTGAGTGATGCCGTTTACCGTGTCTGACTGTGAGAGGTAGACGCCTTGTATACAAAGCATCCAAGGGCTGCTTAATAAAAATGTGCTGTCACAATGACAGATAGTTTAGAAGGATCAACTGTGAATACTAAAGAGGGTGGCATGTTTCTGATGCATATTCAATATGGATATATATGAATATGGCTTAAAGTAACAAGGATTCAGGATTTTGTGTGTGTGTGTGCGTGCAGTATGAAGTTTTAATGAAATCTGTATCATTCTATTGAGACTGGGACTAGTTAAATTGACTTAAGCAGACGACCTTGAAGATTATTTACACAGAATGTGTATTGTTAAAACTCAGTATTCATGTTGCCGTGTAACTATCCACTCAGACATTTAAATTCGTAGGAATCTGACCAGAAGCATTAAGTTTAGAAAAATCCACATTGATCATTTTCAGGGAATAAGCTTCTCTCTTTTGTGATTAAAGAAAATTTTGATTTATTTTTCTGCACTCTTAATTGGTTTTAAAATATCAAAACATTGATTTGACATGTCAGTTTTTTTAATAGAAAAAAGCTCATGCTGTTTTATTATGTACATAAATGTTTTTCTATTTCAATACACTTGTATGATTTCCTGGCTCTTTGAGAAGCATTTTGCAAGATACTTAGATAACCTACTGTTGGAAAAATACAGACGTGACTTTTATGAATATAGGCCTAGTACAGGTCTGTTGGTTTTTGCTACAGTGCAAGATATGAGGACTAGGAGAGGTTTGCTGCCGATTGCCAGGAGGACAGATCCCAGGTCTCAGTCTCCCCTCCTGTAAAATGAAGTGGCTGGACTGGATTCTTTCCTCTTCAAAGATGAGTTTCCATGAGCCCGTGTCTTTTGTATATATTCAGGAGTATTAGCAATATCAGATTAAATACTGCATACCCCTGCCATTTCTGAAGCTAAGTGCAGTATGTGCTACATAAGCTTTTAGTTATCTGATTATTGTTTCTGATCCACAGGCAATTTTTGTGTTGCATCTTTCCCAGCAACCTGGAAGGTCTTTTTAGCCATAGGTGGCGCTGTTGCACCTTCTTACAGTCTTAATATTCCTGTTTGTAAAAGAAGGCTTAAACAACGTTATTTTGTTTTGATACCTTTGCTTAGAGCTTCAGGATAGCACAACGTCCATTATGTCTGACTACCTGGAAATATTATTCTGCTTATATCATAGTTTTATTCTATCATCTCGCTGTGAACATTTCAGACTTCCTGCGCAAACAGTGGCAACATAGGACTTTTCTTCCAGTGTTAGAAACCAGTGAGCCGGGATTTTATAAAAGAGCTAGAAGCTGTCTCTGGAGCACCTTAAAGCTGAAAAGTGTACTGAGTTCCCTAAATATTATCCCCACCACTGTGTGTCAATGGGTGGTAGGAGATTTGGTACATATATGAAGGGGTGTAGTGTTTTGACTTGGGTTTGCGTGCACGCTCTGCCACTGAGCTACGTGATCCTGAGTCAGTTCGTTCTAAGTTTTCCCCTCGTCTATGAGATGGGGACACTCATTTCTGCTTTGTAGAATTGTGAGAATTAGAAATTATGTAAAGTGTTTAGCACAGTGGGTATGTCAAGAGGGCTCATAAACTCAACTGCTGTTTGGTATGAAGCCATCATTTGATAGTCTTTGGCAATTACTGAGAAACAGGAAAATAAGAAAAGCTGGTTTTATGATGAAAGATATTTGAGGAGGTTCCATAGTTCCTATACCCATAATTTAGCATCAGCAGAGTCAGGACCGTTACACAGTTGCCCTGAACCAATGTTAAGCCACAGAGTTTTTTGTTACTTCATATATGTTGGGCTTAAGGGGACCCAATACTTATACACATGTTGTGTCCAGCAGCCAACTGAGAGATGACACAAAAGAGTAGGCAGGCGATAA